TTGTATCGGGAACTCGCTGTGTGTAGACGGTAAAACGGGAGCACGCACAAACTAACAAGCGCGGCCTGCGTAAACGTTGCGCTGCTAAAGATTTTAGTTTGCGCAAACCAGTTTGTGCGGTGATATCATACGTGTAGACGGTATCAGCGAGTTCAAGGTACAGTTTTGTGACTTTTGTGGGTTTTGTGTTATTAATTATTTTACTCTTAGAAAATGTCTGATATTCGTACTTATTCCAATAAGGAGTTTGTGACGAGTTTTATTGAAATATATTGATCGTTGCCATGTCTATGGAAGATAAAATTGAAAGATTATTCCGATAGAAACAGAAAAAATGATGTGTACAAGAAAATGGTTTTCTATTTAAGTCAGTTTTTACTCCACTTCGATCTATACCGTTTATTTTGCTGTTTGTTCTTTAACAATAAGCAATAAAAAACAATAATTCGTCACTTGACATTTCCACGAACGGAACCACAAATTCAGAATAAAAATAATGATGAATGTACGCTCTTACTTGCATCGTGTGGACACCGCACAGTGTTCCTTCTAGTTTGCGCAAACTATACCGTGCAGGCAAGTCGCTATCGTGTAGCCGCCGCTTAAGAATATATTGGTTAGTAATTTGCAACTAAATAATCGGCCGACTATATAAAATTTGCCTGTCAGCGCATAGCCTAAGGCTACGCAATGGCATCAAATAGTCATCCAATCATCGATTCCATAAACAGTGGCAGATACAGAGGGGGGGCATGGGACCCAGGCCTCCCCTAAAATCGATAAATTGGGTCGAATATTAGGCTTTTGGATTAAAAATGGCGCCGTAAAAATCATATTCTACATTAATTTTTATTTGGATCCCCCCTAAAATAAATTCCTGTATCCGCCCCTGTCCATAAGAATGTATTATTTTTACGTTTCCAGCTAAATAGTCGGTCGACAAAAAATTGGATTTCAGCGCGTAGCCTAATTATCACAAAAAACTCGCAAGAGTAAAAGAGAAGAACGCATGATTCATTTAGAAATATGTAATAACTTTTTTTCAAATATGCGATAATTATTATGAGTAGTGTATTGTGTATTTTGCTAGTTTGGGTCCTATAAGAATGTTCTGAAATATTTATTGGACATCCTTAAGAAATTAAATTATTTTTCCGTGCCAATGAGCATCATTTCGTTTAATAAATTATAATAAGCTCTTTGGTATTTACGATGTCTTTAATTATCTCGTATACACCTGAGTTTTCTTTTTGCGGGTGGCATAATAATGCAATAAATTAAATAATTACGAAATTTTCTAACCAATCAAAGTTTTTGTATTTAACCAATAAAATTAATATCGTATCGTTGGATATCGGACGCATGAAATCGGCCATAACCAGAGATGGGCCAAAGACCGGGTATATTAAAATTTAGGTAAATACCCTATGTTTTGCATTCGGTATATATGCAATGGGTAAATAAAGGGTACATTAAATTTGGGTAAATACTATATATAATACCCGGTATAATATACAGGGTCCGTCAATAGTGCATCGGGAATCTGTAGCTCCTAGAATAAAAAACTTTGGAATTTTATTTAAGTGCACACCTGGAGTATGTACGAGGATTATTTCAGAAAAATATTTTAACTTCTATAGGGTGGCTCAAAAAAGTGAGTGGATCAGGATTTTTTTTAATTGAACACCCTGTATATTATTGCATTTTTGGCATCCTTTCGAGGAAGTTTTTTGAGCCACCCTATAGAAGTAAAAATATTTTCCTGAAATTCATCGTAGTACATACTTTCGGTTTCTCTCTTCACTTAAACAAAATTCCCAAGTTTTTTTATTCTAGGAGCTACAGATGCCCGACGCACTATTGCCGAACCCTGAACCCTGTATACCCAAGTATGTTTATTTTGTTAGTTTAACTGCACATTTAAACAACAATTTGTTGTTATCTTACTTATCTTATCGCACAAAGAAATGCACAATAGCATAATAGTCTTAATTGTATCGAAAATGCAGCACAAGGCAGACAGTTCAATTTTTAGTTAGTTGAATAATCGCATTTTACAAGGGGGATCCCCGACTAAATATTCTCTCGATGGGTACCTAAATACTCTACACCTTACACCTTCTAGATATATACCAGGTGTATACCCAAATTTCTTTATTATACCCATTGGATATTTACCCACCGCCCATCACTAGCCACTGGCCTTAACACGTGTAATAACAGCGCATATTTTAAAAGTACTTTTGTTAATGTCCAGGGTGGGTCAAATTCGACGCTTTTAAATGGAAACACCCTTTTCTATAGGAGATAGACGAAAACTAATATCGGTGTCTGGAGCTCAATTTTCATCAAAAACATGATGCTGAAAACCGCACATCAATATCTGTTACCGTTTCGGAGTTACGGGGTGTTTTTCAAAACTGTGCATTTTTAACAAATCGCTGTAACTTTTTTGCTATGGAAAATTTTGTATTTCTATGAAAACATTTTCAAAGCACCTTTTACGTAGAATTTAATGGTTTAAGTATATTTTTTTAAAATTAATAATTTAAGAGTTATCAACAGAAAAATTGATTTTTATTTGGGACACCCTCCATATTTTTAATTAACTGAAAAGAATTTAAAATTACCTTCCAAAAATATAGCACACTTGATATTTTGTTATAATCCTCTTCGAAATACAGAATTTTTAAAAGTTCGCCACTTTTAACTAGTAGGCTTTGGACCCCTTATTGATGATATACCTCTAATGGAACTCGAAAACATATTTTTCCAGCAAGACGACGCACCGGCTCTGAACGCTGAAGTTATTAGCAAATTTTTGCAGCCAATTTCAAGAATATTTGAATAACTAACCAAGATCTCAGCCGTTGGCCGTCGAGGCCGCCTGACTTAGTGCCCATGGATCTAATCCTATTGATATATTTGCGAAAGAATAAAGGTTCCTTATTCTTCCGTATAGTCTAGACAAGAATTAGAAATACTTAGCAGTTATGAGAGGGTATCTTTCACCCCCACTGAGTTAATGAATTTCGCGAGAAATGTTCAAAAACTGCCCCGTCTGTCCATAACAGAAGACGGTCGATATGTTGAACACCTATAGCAAAATCTCATGTCTTGGTTTGCTATTTATTTTTAATGTTATTAGATATAGTTTAAATGTGTTGATGTTGGTTAAATATGTTTTAAATTGTTACAAAATTCTGCATCTCTCATAGCAAATATTATTTTCGTTTTAATTGATGCTCACAGCTAGAATTTTTTTGCATTACAGCCGGTGCCGTTCAAAGCCTACCTATTTAAAGCGGGCGAATTTTTATATACTCTATATCTCGAAGAGGAATCGAGCAAAATATTAAGTATGTTATATTTTTGGAAAGGTAATTTTAAATTCTTTTCAATAAATTAAAAATATACAGGGTGTCCCATATAAAAAATCAAATTTCTTGTTGATAATTCTTAAAATATTAATTTTAGAAAAATTATACTTAAACCATTAAATTCTACGTAAAAAGGTGCTTTGGAAATGTTTTCATAAAAATACAAAATTTTCCATAGCAAAAGAGTTTCAGCGATTTGTTAAAAATGCATATTTTTGAAAAACACCCCGTAACTCCGAAACGGTAACAGATATCGATATGCGGTTTTCACCATCATGTTTTTGACAAAAATTGAGCTCCAGACACCGATATTAGTTTTAGTCCATCTCCTATAGAAAAGGGTGTTTCCATTTAAAAGCGTCGAATTTGACCCACCCTGTACAGCATGATTCAAAAATATTTTTAAACTAAAGTTCTGTATTTTCAAATGGAATGTGGGGTCTTTTTTGGCTCAGTGGATTTGTCATGCTTAAAAATAGTTATTTTTCAAAAAGAAATCGGGATTTCGCGAATGCGAATAGTGGTTAGAAAAATATGATATTTATGAAATATTATAGATGTTATATATAAAAATAAAAAACTTTTAAATATTAATTGTTTTCGAAGAAAGTTTTATTGTGGAATATCTTATTATTTAAATTTTGTATATTTTATCGAACGTTTATATTAAAAAATCAAAATATTCACATACGTTCTTTGAATGTAGTGCAAATATAAAGCCACTGAACTAAAAAAATATATATGAATCTATCAATTTTAAAATATACAAATTGAGTTTAAAAATATCTTTGAATCAATGTGTATAATGACAAAATTTTGTAAAATGTGCGCTATTATTGCCCGCATACTATATATAAAAATGTTTGGAATAAAAGTCTCAAAATAGTTGTCTAAGATAGGTTTTTTTCAGAACACTGGGTTACCCTGTATATAAATTAAAAAATTATACTATACTATCGAAAGAAAACAGGGTAGAATTAACATTCTATTGATGCTCATTCACTAATCGTTTCTGTAGTAATTTCAGTTGGCCGTCGGCACGTGTTCTTTTTGCTTAAAACCAAAAAAAGAAAAAAAATTCCCCGTAGTTTTTCGTCAAAAAATGAACTATTTCATTGAATCTATTTCTTGGGGCGCCGGAAAAATTCAATTTTTAACAACCACCCTATCACAGGGGGCACAGATCTCTATGTTTTTAATGGCATAAAAGTAACATTTTATTCAATCTCTATAATTATCAAACAATTAGTATTTTTTGAATGTTTATAATATTTCAAGACGCGTGTTTCTACACTTAAAATTATAAATAAAATTCCATATTCAATGAGTCGACGACAATTTCGAAAGCCGACATCCAAAAATGACAGAAAATATAATTTACCAGTGAATTAAAACGACAGGCCTAACTGGATACAGACTTTAACTCATTAATTACAATACGGAATTAAATTACACAAATCAATCCTTTCGTGCTCAAAAATCTTCTTTAAAAGTGAGATTAGAGAAACATTATAATACTGACATATAAACTGTATTATGAATATTAGCTTAGTAAAAATATATTTGTAAAAACAACATGTTTTTTGTTTATGCTAGTCAGTATTTTATTAGTCGACTTACTTTCATCCAAATCTTTGATAGTTTCATTGCTATTTGATTGTGCGTTAAATGGTAATCCAGTATACGGAGGTGGCAGGTATAGTCTAAGTAATTCTTGAGGTATATAAATAGGATGACTGGGTAGTTCCACTGATTTACCCCAACCCACACGCATATCAGTCCTAGGCCGCATATGCCTTAGAGCCCTCTCAGCGTCTACACGGCTCATATAAGCCACAAAGCCGTAATTAGTATTTGCATGTTTAAACTTGTCGTCTCCTGCAATATAAAAAGTAGTACATATATCTGTAAGCAATGTTTGAATGTAATATCGATTTAAATTTCGAGCAAAACATATGAGAGGCATGATAGACAGATCAAGAATGGAACAAATGCCAGTTCAATTCAGCAAATCAAGAGGATTATAAAATTTTAGTTCAGGTTTTTCTAATTACCGATTCTGACCGATCCTAGATGTTACAGCCCATGCGCAGATGGAACAATAGCTGCATATTTCCTTGTGCGCAAAAGTATCACAGTTCTAGGACAGTTCATAATCGGTAATAAGAAAAACCCCACAGTAAGCTAAATATTAAAACGCCTGTGAAGGAAGGTATCTTGATTAGTTTCCGATGTATGAAAAAAAAAGATAATGCGTTTATTTTAAATGACAATATCTTCAGAAATATTGTATCTATTGCAAAGTAAGTTGCATGCGCAGATGGAACAATTGCTGCATATTTCCTTCTGCGCAAAAGTATCACAGTTCTAGGACAGTTCAGAATCGGTAATAAGAAAAGCCCCAAAGTAGGCTAAATATTAAAATGCCTGTGAAGGAAGGTACCTTGATTAGTTTCCGATGTATGAAAAAAAAAAGATAACGCGTTTATTTTAAATGACAATATCTTCAGAAATATTGTATCTATTGCAAAGTAAGTTGCATGCGTAGATGGAAAAATTGCTGCATATTTCCTTCTGCGCAAACGTATCACAGTTCTACGACGCGCGACGGTTCAGAATCGGTAAAAAAAACCAAAGTAAGCTAAATATTGAAACACCTGTGAAGGAAATCACGGTATCTTGTTTAGTTTCCGATGTATGAAAAAAAGATAATGCGTTTATTTTAAATGAAAATATCTTCAGAAAAAGTATATTTATTACAACGGAAGTTGGTACATGCGCAGATGAAAAAATTGTTGCATATTTCCTTCTGCGCAAACGTATCACAGTTCTACGACGTTCAGAATCGGTAATAATTAAAACCCGAAGTAAGTTCAGTATTAAAACGCCTGTGGAAGAAAGATATGTTGATTAGTTTCCGATGTATGAAAAAAAATATAATGCATTTATTTTAAATGGCAATATCATCAGAAATATTGCATCTATTGCAACGTAAGAAAAATACACAATACACATATGAAAAAATTGCTGCATATTTCATTCTACGCAAACAAAAAAAATAAGATAATGCGTTTATTTTAAATGACAATACCTTTAGAGATATTATATCTATAGTACAACTTAAGTTGGTGCTTGCGCAGATGGAAAAATTGCTACATATTTCCTTCTGCGAAAACGTATCACAGTTCTACGACGCGCAACGGTTCAGAATCGGTAATAAAAAACCCAGAGTAAGCTAAATATTGAAACGCCTGTGAAGGAAATCACGGTATCTTGTTTAGTTTCCGATGTATAAAAAAAGAAGATATTGCTTTTATTTTAAATGAAAATATCTGCAGAAATATTGTATCTACTGCAACGTAAGTTGGTGCATGCATAGATGGAAAATTTGTTGCATATTTCCTTCTGCGCAAACGTATCTCAGTTTGGACGGTTCAGAATAGGTAATAAGAAAAACCCGAAGAAAACTAAATATTAAAACGCCTGTGTTATTTATTCCTTTAACTACGTGGAAAAACTATGTAATATCATTTTGTAAATAAGAAATTAATTTAGTAAATGAAAAAAAAGTTTCCTAAGTAAAAATATAACAATTACAAAAGGTTAAATTAAATATAGAAAAACTCTGTAATATTTATTTTTAAATAAGAAATAAATTTAGCAAATGAAAAAAAGTTTACTAAGTAAAAATCAAACAGAATAATTAAATACACAAATTACCTCTCGGCCACATAATTTTGACACTTGCCAGTGGTCCAAATAAACCGAATTCTTCCATTAAAACAGCTTCTGTAATTGAAGTGTTGAGATTGGCCACAAATAGATTAGTTGAATTAGGGTCTCCTCCATCAAAATAGCTAATGGCTGGAGGTGCCGATATAATTTGTTCCTAATAATCAAAAACAAGCAAATTACTTTCATTATAGGGTACAAATCAATAAGTGCGAAAAAAATTCAGTTAGGGTCAATCGACCAGTGAATGAACAGTTAACCGAAGTATTAACTTTAAATAAATCACGATTTTTTATTTTATATAATATGTGGTAAAACTGGTACAAAGGCAACTATCTATAATTTAAAAATTAAGAAAATATTACCTAGACACAAAAATAATACGGTTTCACAAATTTCAATTTTCGGCGAATAAGCGAAATATCTAGTAAATGAACGATAGAAGTCAGTGAATAAACACATAAAGACCAATTAATGAACGTTGTATTTATTAAATTAAGCTTTACAAAAATTCAAGTTTAAATAAACACATAAGCTTTTAATAAACATAATCAGGTAAGAGTATAATATAAAAAACATTATGCTGCATTTACATATTAATAACAAAAGTCCCTTCAGCGCTATGAGGTATTGGAACAGCAATTTTTTTCACAATTTTATCCGAGTAATACCAAATTTGATCAGGTGGTGACGGCCACTTCCAAGTGTTCTTTTTTGTACTATGGATGTTTTTATATCTACCTCTGTCAGTGTATATATTTTGTTTATAATTTTGAGTGTTGTACGTGTTTTTCTATATTCTTTTGTGTATATTTGTATACATATTACTTTTATTGTACCATGTGTTTGCCATACGATAAATAAATAAATGTACTATGGAGAGCACTTACTTTATATTCATTATTTTTAACAGCCTTTATTAGGCCAGGATAATGTGAATCCCCATAGTTTACCAGAACATAATCACCTTTAACAAAAGGAACGCTTAAGTCAAAATTTGATGTTGATTTTTCTAAACTTATTGATGACAATTTAGGGGAAAATTTATTCTTAGTTCCTTCTTCGTCCGATTCTTCGATTTTTTGAGCATTATTACGCTTCGTCATTTCTGACCATTTTTCTTGTTTTTCGTATGTTTTCTTTTTTTGTCCTTGTAGTTTCAATTCAAATAGTGACAGATTTTCATCCGTACTTGAGGAATCATCTCTGTTAAACCGTTTTGTATACTGTTGCTCGATTTTCTGATCTTTATCACGCTTCCGCTTTTCTGACTTTTTCTCTTGTTTTTTGCATGTTTTTCTTTCTTGTCCTTGTTTTAGTTTCAATTCAAAAAGTGACAGGTTTTCACTCAAGTCTCTGTTAGGTCTCTTTATTTCATACTGTCGCCTGATCTTATTTTTTCGTTCTTGTTGTTCCATTCGCTTTCTTTCTCTATCGAGTTTTCTTTTTTTAATGTCTTCCTCTTTTTGACGCTTTATTTTATGTTGTTCTTGATGAAATTCTACCCATTTTGTTGAAGTTATCATGCTGCCTGATTCTACTGCTCTGATACCCAGTGACAACTACTCTTTGGAATATTTGAATCTAGTGTATTTCCGCTCCATCTGTACCAACAAAAAATATTTATTTTTAGTAACCGCCGAATACTTTTAATAAAACTATAATACTAAAAATTAAACCTCCAAAACAAAAACTACTGCCCATCCTAATAATAAGAGACAGAAATCATTTGCAAATAGGTCTTATGCCTAATCTAGTAAATGAACAGGAACAATATCCAGTAAGTAAACGATTCAAAATCCTGTTCATTTACTGGCTGGCATTTATTTTTATTACATTTAAGGTATTTTAATGGATTTACATATGTAAACAAAGCTTAAGGGTCATTTTAAAGCAATTTCAGATAATCGAATAAAATACCAGTAAATGAACAGCCGTTCATTCACTGGAATTTGAACTTTTTTCCCGCCAGTTATTAAACACATTAAATAAAATATAACCTAAAAGATAATAGATCTTTTACTTATGGATTAATAACGATGAATTGTTGAAATATATATTCTCGCACACTGCCAAGCTTTTATATTTTATGAACAATTAAATACCCTCATTAATAATAGGATATGCATCTACTTACCCTAAAGAAAATGGCGCTTAAAAGACTAACAACGTCAGACTACAACTTTGAACAGCGATTTGCACGTGTCGTTTATTAACTGGTTGTATTTTAGCAAGTTAGTCGTAAACTGCGCAGTGTAAATTAGATTAAAAAAGGACAACAAATAGAGTTTAATGGCACCTTATTAGAGCAAGATAAAGTTATTTTGTTCATTAACTGGGTCACATTCATTCACTGGTTGGTTTACCTTAATTCCAAAATCACTAATAATAACTTATTTCAAAAACGGTTAGCACAAAACATTTTAAATTTGCTGTGTGGATGACACTAATCAAATCGAGTGTATAGGTAGAATTTGTATTTGGGTATGCCATATACAAGGTGTTCAAATAGCTACTCTACTTGCAATACTGCACATTTCTTTATTCTACGATTAATTTTAATATATTTGTTAATCTGTAACAGTCAGTTTAAAAACGTGTTTGTTTCTATGTATAATTTTTTTCGACGTTCTTTATGATTATTTAATTGCTAAACAACTTCATAGCTAAACAGTATCACATAAAACTATTTTTAAGTCTGTAATAAATTTTAAGAAAAAAAACTTTTAAAAACAAGCTTTTATTTAAATACACTAAGAAGAAAAAATAAACTTTTTCTTTAAAACTTTTATTATGAACATATAACGTCATTACAAAATGTTATATTATATAAAAGCTTGTCGCGAGATTTGAATGTACAGTTGTATTCATAAAAATTTGGTACGACAACTTTATCTTGTAATGCCTGGTCTAGTGGTCTATCATATAATAAAATTAATTATCATTTTTTATAAGATGAGTATTTTTTAGCTATGTACACTGACAAGCATTAACAACTCAGACAATTTGTGGATGTAAATGTACCAAAATTGTGTTAGTTTTAATGCATTTAAAATATGGTATGTCAAAATAGTGTACTTACCCGTATGTATTTATTTAGTTTAAAAAGTTTTACAATTAAAATCAAATAGATCCAGTAATTTAATTTACTTCTGTATCGATGTAGAGAAATTTTGCGGCAAGCTTTTATATAATATTTAAAATTTTGTAATGACGTTATAAAGTTCATACTAAAAGTTTTAAAGAAAAAGTGTATTTTTTTCTTTTTAGTGTATTTAAATAAAAACTTGTTTTTAAAAAAGTTTTTTTTCTTAAAATTTATTTTTTACTTTTTAGTTATGCTGTTTTTTTTCTTAAAAAACTTCCTATGGGCATCGTAATAATATGTATATCGATTTTCATTAAAAAATGAGAACTTAAAAAAAACGACAGCTGTCAAATTTCAGGCAGTTCAAATGTGAGACAAATAAAATAAAAACGGATTATGGGGTAGGGGGCATCCAATATATCGATTTGTGTGCTTGGAAATGTTCTATCCTTTTTTATTTATCTTCCTATAATTAGTGTTAATTTTTGAAAAGTTTTATGTTAATTTTTAGTAAATGACGTCTAGAGATTAACTTCGCCAAAATTGTCATCGATTGTCATTCTTTAAATAAGGTGGGTGGACCATGGAAGGCCACCGTAACGAATAAACAGTTTTTATTAGTTCATTTACTGGATAAATGAAAAAAACAAATTATTAATTAACACTTCATTTTATTGTGTAACATTTACATTACCTACTTTTTTTTATACTAGCTGTAATCAAGAAAGAAAAGAATAATAATTTTAAAACTTCTAAGAGAGAAAAAAATTATAATTTTGCTTTGGTTTCATTTAAAATATCGGTAGTGTTCCTATAAAAGCCGGTGGTTCCTCATAAGGCCAATCAAAAATGTGACGGTTGGCCTTGCTAGGGTACATGGGTCTTACTAGGAACTTTTACAAATCATGAAAATGAATGATACTTAATTTTTAGTTACAAGTACGTACCGGGAAAGTTGAATAATATTTAAATATCATTTTTTTCAATATTTTATGTTTATAATATTATTATTTATAAGGGTTAAGCTTGATTTTCATGCATCCATTACAACGTACAACGATACGTTGATACGATATTAATTTCATTGGTTGTATTTAAAGACTTCGATTGGTTAACCGTTTCTAACCAACCGAAGTCTTTAAATTCAACCAATAAAATTAATATCGTATCATCGTATCGTCGGACAACGGATGCATGAAAATCAAGCTTTATTCAACTTTTTAGATAAAAAACATTTTGGCCTTACAAAGAACAAACCCATAAGTATGCCATTATATAGATATTTTTTATAACTTCATTCTAAAACCCATTAGCAACTTATTTGTTATGGATATAATACTCATTATTCATTATTACAATTTTTAAATGATTTCCATTAATATATTCTTAATTATACGACTGTGTTCAAGGTTGATTTGAGTTTTTTAATAAAGATTATAGTATGTAAAGCATTTAATTTTTCGTTCAAACGAAAGAGCTTTTTATGTAGTTTTAATAAAATATATCTTGATTCTTACAACTCTAGTTTTAAGTTGAACGACTGATATATAATATTGGCCTTAATTATTGGAGCCATATTCCTTGCAAGGCCATTTGGAAGAGCTTAATAAAGGTTAAGTTTAATAAATAGTGATTACATCTAGAATAAAAAAAGTAATGTATATGTCACACAATAAAACAAAGTGTTAATTAATAATTTGTTTATTTCATTTATCCAGTAAATGAACTAATAAAAACTGTTTATTCATTACGGCCACTGTAATATTCCATGGTCCACCCACCTTAGTCTTTAGCGCCGTTTTTTTAGATCATACGGTAGTAATTTCATTAATTTACCTTTATTCGATCGCGCTCATCTTTTTCCGAATGCCGTTGCTTCAGCTCCTCTTTCAACGTTTCTAAATTCGACTTGGTTTTGTCGTATTTCTTGTTTTTATCAATTTTAGTGTCTTTAACAAGTCTAGCGCATTCGAGTACATTTTGCATAAGTAGTGGATTCTTTAGAATAGGTTTCGGCTGATAAATTTGTCCTTCTACGGTGTTCTCCGGATTATTATCGGTGAACAATACGCCAGTTTTGATAAATGTCTTGCTAGTCGCAGGTACATCTTGAAATGTGTTTATAAATTCTTGGAAAACGTGAGCTGTAGCTTCTTGGTCTTCACGTGCCTTCCGTTCCAAGTACTCGCGTCTGTTCATTCTTTTTTGCCAATTAGTGTAGATATGTAACAATAATGCCTTTGCAGAAAAAACAAAAGATTTATTAATTTTAAAATCACTTTCGTAAGGCAATAGCATGTCCGCTACATGACTGCTACATTTCTTGGTCATGGTCAAAACATGGTCAAAATGTATGCATCTATATCAGAGATATAGACATAGGAGAATGAGCTTCGACGAGTGCGCATCCAAAAATCTTGTTATGCCTAGATGGGCGCCATGTTAAGCTACATTCGAAATCAATTCGCTGGCCGAGTGGCACTTCGACGTTAAAGTCGGCACGAAATTAACCATTCACAACAAATTTCAATTCGAATTTTGCGCATGCGTGTTTAAACGTTCTCCTGACATTTTTTAGGCTAGTTGTTGGTTTTGATTTTGGAAGAATCAAAATCCGAGACAGTTGTTAATTAAGTTTTCCAAGTTTTTATGTTTAGAAAAATGCAAACAAAAACGTCATTTATTGATGATTTTTTTCTAAAATGTGTCTCAAGCACCCAAAACTTTTTCTCGCCATTAATATGGGTCGGCCACCCCATTTTTTGGGTTTTGGTAAACCCCTTGGTTTTCGGTCAAGCTAATTATTGAGCTGCAACAATAATTGTCGTTTTTTTAACAGCAAAGCCACAAGTCCTAATAAAATAAGAATAGCGTCCTTCACTCATTTTTATTTTAATAATTATTTACTTTTCACAGGAAAATGGCTTGTAACAACGACACAAACAAAATAATTATTAAAATTTAAATGTCAAATTTGTCATAATTGTCAAACGAAAATTCCGTGCTGAAGTGGAAGTTTGCAGCTAGCAAGCTTTCAATCCAACTTCAACTTGCACTCTGGCGTCGAATTTTGTTGTGAATGAGTACACTGAAGTACATAAGATAAGCTTGCGTGCCAAAGTACGACTCGGCCAGCGAATTGATTTAGAATTTAGCTTTAGTGTTTAGGCTTAAAATCCCTCAAGTGCAAACTTCCACTTCAGCACGGAATTTTCGTTTGACAATTATGACAATTTTGACATTTAAATTTTAATAATTATTTTGTTTGTGTTGTTATTACAAGCCATTTTCCTGTGAAAAGTAAATATTTATTATTAAAAGAAAAATGAGTGAAGTGGACGCTATTCCTGTTTTATTAGGACTTGTGGCTTTGCTGTTAAAAAAACGGCAATTATTGTTGCAGCTCAATAATTCGCTTGATCGTAAACCAAGGGGTTTACCAAAATCCAAAAAATGGGGCGTCCGACCCATATTAATAACGAGAAAAAGTTTTGGGTGCTACGAAAATCTTTTGAGACACATTGCAGACACATTGTAGAAAAAAATCATCACTAAATGACGTTCTTGTTTCCATTTTTCTAAACATAAAAACTTGGAAAACTTAATTAAGAACTGTTCCGGATTTTGCCTCTTCCATATGCTTTTCCAAAATGAAAACAAACAACTAACCTAAAAAAATGCCAGGAGACGTTTAAACACGCGTGCGCAAAATTCGACTTGAAATTTGTTGTGAATGGTTAATTTCGTGCCGACTTTAATGTCGAATTGCCACTTGGCCAGCGAATTGATTTCGAATGTAGCTTTACAGGGGAAATCAAAAAGTAATAACAACAGACCGTTCTGACATTTCATCCTATTGTTTTGATTTTTTTTCGAGGTTAATGTAATTTTTCGTTTTTTTTAACTTACGGACTGATAAAAACAGCTTTTCTTCGGCACGATTGATCACATACATACACAAGAAACTATCAGCCGAAGAAAAGAATATGAACTTCCACTAGCCATAGCCTTTATAGATTTTGAGAAGGCTTTTGATTCAATATATCCTAAGGCAATAATAGAAGCCCTAGCGACTAGTGAAACAAGGTATTGCAAGGCGTTATATAGAAACTATCGCCAATATATACAAAGAAGCCAAAGCAAGAGTAATGATTTATAAAACAACCCCAGAGTTCTCAACTGGTAAAGTAGTATGAGTACGAGCGGGAACCACGATATCCCCAAAGCTGTTTACAGCAACACTAGAAGAAATATTCCGCCAACTGGACTGGACCAACAAAGGATTAAAAATAGATGGAGAATATCTCAACTATCTAAGATTTGCTAATGACATAGTCCTAATTGCTAAAAGCCCTGAGGAACTACAAGCTACAAAATGCACTTAGCAAAAAGTACTGTACAATGAACGAGTGGACATAAAAGCCATTCTAATAAATAACACAGCACTGGAAATCGTAGAAGAATACATGTATTTGGGACAACTAATACACAGCTCGGGATCTCTATTATCAGAAATCAACAGAAGAATTAAGTTGGCATGGAGTACTTATGGAAAAAACTCAATCATATTGAAATCTAGAATTCCACTTTCTTTATCTAAAGAACAAAACATTCAACCAATGTGTACTACCAGTGATGACCTATGCATGCAAAACCTGGACAAAAACGGACATCATCAGGAAACTGCACCTCGCACAAAACTCAATAGAACGAAATGCTGGCACCCTAAAAGAATAGAGTGGATACAACAAAAGACCCAGATAATAGATATCATCCACAGAGTCAAATCCCTCAAGTGGCAATGGACAGGACTCGGCAGGACACCTGGCAAGAAGGACGGACAATAGATCTAAATATGTGAGGAAGGCTACATCATAATTGGAAATGGCCGAATAAGTTGAAAATTGAAAATGATGATTGTGATAAACAGTTTTTCTACTATTCTGAACTGTTTCTAGTGTTTTTTTTTGTGTAAAAAATAATTTTTGTTAGTGTTTTAGCTGGTATAGCCAATTAGTGTTTTATTTGGTGATAGTTCTTTGTTTAGTATTTTATTAACGTCGCTTTCCTATTAAAAGCGACGTTGTTGGATCCGAGTCGGTAAATCCAACGATCTGTCGACGTACAAAATAACAACGTATACCATTTTTATTAATTTCCCAACGTCGCTCCCACATTGGCTTGCACGACGTACATATACTTGAACTAGCCCGACGTCTATCCGTTGTCCGAATAGGATACGTCTCACTGATAATCCCTAAAGTAACGTCCAATTATATTTTGTTGTATTTTATGTTCATATTTATAACCTAATTTACGTATCTCTATTTACGTCCGTATACAACCCATTAAGTAGCATTTGCGGCCTAATGAACATCATGAACATAACCTAATAAAAAGTTTTTGTAAACAAACTTAATTTTTTTTATTATGCCTAAAAAACACTAAAAAGGCATTTAGACCTTCATCTACATTTTACAGAAAGAGATCGAGGCTTTTGCAAAATAATAATAGTAGTAGTGATATCTTGCCTTCACCCACGAATGTTTTTTATTCGGAAGAGATGCTGTATTACACTGGTGCATCTTAATTTCATTTTTAAGCTTGACTCCATCCTCCTCCCACATGTGAGGTACTGGTTCCAATTCTTTTAAATTTTGTATATATTATACTATCTTAAAAATGTGGCTGTCCATTTTTTAAGGAGAAAACAAAAACTAAAATATAGTTGCACAAATCCACAAATCACTGATACGCAAAGTGAGGTAACGTGGCGTACGTTGGAATTATATACGTTATAATACGATTGCCGGTCGTCCGGTTTGATGACTTCGGTCGTGTGAGACGACTTATGTTGGAGACCCGGTCGGAATTGGTATATTGGTAGTTCATATTAAGTCGGACACAGAAATCCGCCATTCTTAACAAGTATCCGATTGTCAGCCATTTTAAAATCGTTTTTGTTTTAAAATTTATATTCACATTCCGATTTCTAGTAGAATAATATTGATAAGGTTGATTTTGGGGAACCACAGTACAATTTTATGATTAAACCAGCTAGAAAATAAAAAACATATTTTGCGAGTTACTTTTTATAGATATTTTTATTTCATAAATCTACCTAATTTTGAAGGCGCTCGTTGTTTTCCGGGGTATTTTAATCAGATATATCAAAAAAGTGACTTCCGTTGACAAAACTGATGTCTGGATTAATGATTCAGAATTATTATAATATGAAATTAGGTAGGCACTTATAGTTATATCATATTCGAGAAGTTATTATGAATCCATTTGTAATTAGGTAGTTTGGTTAGGTTTTAATGTATTCTTGGTAGCGAATATGAAACCAAAAGTAACGTAAGTGCTTAGCGACGAATTTTAAGTGACTAAAATCCAACGTAATATGACGTTGGTAATTGGTAGAATTACATTCCCTATTAGGTCAGATACAGACGTCGAGGCGACCCGAATCTGTATTCCCCATTTAGGTGCAAATACGGGTCGTCAGGCGGTCGAACCGACGTTGGTACCCTACGTCGGGTTTATTGAACGCGACGTATACCCGACATTAGATAACGTCCAAATGCTACTTGGGAATACTAAAATACTTATTTATTTTTTTATAGATATAATACCCCAACTGTATTACAGCTAATAATAATAATATAATAATTAATCTTAATTTAATATATCATAAACCAGTCTAGTATGATCATTACTTTTTGAATTCCCCCTATAGACCTAAGCATGAACATGGCGGCCATGGGGATCTTCATTTCTGCGCACCTTCAAGCTCATTCTCCTATCTCTATATCTCTGATCTATATTGACCTCTACAAGTAGCATACTGTTTTTTTATCAACAGTCGTAAAAACTAATTTTAATTTAAATTTTAATTTGTAATATACATATAATGTAAAGTAATATAATAATTATTTCCCGATTATAGCAATTGTACTGGGTGTCCCATTTTGGTTGAAATCATACGGTATCTCCGTTATTAGTGGAGATAGGAGGATGCGGTTTGCACAAACCTGTCCCACTTTTTTGTCAAACGGAAGATGCTACAAAAAAAGTTTTTATAGCCCTCTTCGTTTCTGAGCTACAGGGTCTTTTCGAAAATTTTGCAATTTGGGATAGCCCCCGTATCTCCGTTATTGTAGATGATATCGCGAAGGTGAAAACCGATTCTGGTAGAACTTTTTACGTAGAATACAGTGGCGTAGTCTGTTTTTCTA